AAATGGTGCTTGTGCACTGCATCTCGTGAGTGGGGCTTACCTGGGCTCCCCCCACCATTTTATTCAAGTTGGCACCCTTGGGTGGCATTGTGTGTAGGAGGGCAGAGAAGAGCCAGTGGTGCTGAGTGTGTCTGCCTTTCATCAAAGCAGCAGCTGTGACATTAAAACAGAAAAGTATTTGTAAGCTACTCTGAGCAGCTTCCTATGGGTAGGAGCTATAAATATTTATATTAAAGTGGCAAGCCTGATATTGAGGACCTCATGAAAGATGTTCTAAGTCAGCCAGTGTGATCCCTTTCAGATGTAGTTGGACTATAACTCCACCTGTAGTCAAGAAGCTGAAAGTCTAACCCATGGAGGGCACCATGTTGACTATTCCTGTGTTTAGCAAAGGATTTAGACAACAGAAATTACTTCTCTATCTTTTGCTGTCACTTGAACACAGGAGCCAAAGGTCCATCCGACTGGCAGCCCCTCTCCAGATTTTCAGAAAGGTCCATTTTTCCTAACCCTATCTGAAGATGTCAGGGGCGGAACCTGTGACTTTCTACATGCAAACAGATGTTCTGTCACTGAGCTGCAGCGCTTCCTCAAGTATGTCTCTGTCACACACCCGTAAGAGCTCCTTCCTAAAAGCAACAACAGAGTCTTGTGCAATTTTAATGGCTGACATTTTATTATGGTATAGGCTTCCACAAACTCAAGACTGCAAAAGCTTATGCCATAATAAATGTATCAGTCTCTAATGTGCCACAAAACTCTTGGTTGATTTTGCTGCAAGAATAATTACATGTCTATAGAGATTTATAAAGGAGGCTTTTCTCACACCTCATTCCTTTTCTCAGTATTTTCTTATTTATATATTCCTTGGTGAACAGCAAATAGTTCAGCAGCGTAGTAGCATCAGTTGAAAGCAGACTTCTCCAACCAGGTGCCCTCTAGATGTTGCGCAACTACAGGTTCCTCCATCCTGGGACACTGACTATGCTGACTGGTGCTGTTGAGAGCTGGAGTCCAACAATATTCTGGACTGAGGAGGACTGGTCTAGAACATGGGAGGCCTGGGTTGAATTCGCTAATTCCAAAATTGTGAGCTCCTACAAACTCTTTGGAGGACTCATGAAATAAATGTGAAATGAACAAATATTCTTTCAGTTTCATGGTTTCCCCAATGTTAACAATTCTGTGCTCAATTATTTCAAAACATTCCTGGTTTAGCTTGCTAGTGGAAAAGAAATCACTTCCTTATTCACATCTTCCACACACCTTATTTAGGATGCATTCAATACCTCAAGCAAGTTGGCTGAAATAGGAACCTATTACTCTCCTCTCATTTGGACCTTTCTCATCCATTAGTCAGCTGTTTCAACATTCTTGCTCTCTCATTTCTTTCCATCCTAATATCTATTGTCAGCCTTCAGTCATACCTGACTAATACTTTACACACACCATACTCACTTCTTAGTCACACATCTTTTTCTGACCTACTTCAGACAAAACTCCCATTAATGAGGGGTGATGAAAGAAAAATTAAAAACAGTACGTCCTAGCATCAATTCTGTAGAGTGCTATGGAAATAAATTTCTGAAATCAAAGAGGTATTTCTTGCCGCCTGTAGCAACCATACTCTCTGTAGGAAAAGGCATTACCTTAAAACAAAGGGCATCCTGTAAGCCTTTTATGGGGAAGAATCACTCGCAGGACTATAGGGACTATGGATTAGCAGAGTCTGCATGGCACCTACCAGCTAAAGTGAAGCCACTTCCGTCCACCAGCACAGCATTTGCTCTACCTGAGAGAGCATCTTCTTAGCAACATATGATTTGATCTACAAAATGCAACGCCCTTAATGGGCTTGGAAGTTCTGGATCAGTTGGGGCCCAGGAGAGCATGAGCGACTTCTGGGAGACATGCAGGTTGCAAGGGGAATTATTAAAAGTGCAACTTGGGTTTCCCCATGGGGTACTCAGAAGGAAAAAACTTTGAGGAAGTCCCCTGGCTACTGAAAGTTACAGTGGGAGATGAGACAGGCAATGGGCCAGCATCCAAGAATTCCCTGTCTGATTCATTATATCATCGCAACAAACCTGTGAGGTTGGTTAGGCAGAGAAGCAGGGCCTAGCCCAAGGTCATGCAGTGTGCTTTGTAGCCAAGCGGGGATTTGAACCACGGTCTCCCAGGTCCTAACCACTATACCACACTGTCTGTCAGTGTTATGTAGGGATTGAAAAATCTGTCAATTTCAGTTTCCCTCAGTTTCTCATTTTCCCAGTGTTAATTTCAGTTCCACACATTTCCACAGCTCACAACCACCACTGTCCCTTTAAAAAGTCACCACAGAAATTTGCCAGCATTTTAGTGCACATTTCCCCCATACATATATACATATATTGGAATGACATTTTACCCAATATACACATTTCTAACAGCGTGTACTGCATTTTTTAACAATATGCAATGTATTTTTCTATGTTCTTTTCACCAATAGATGCAGTTTTACACATACATTCCCCTAAAATACAATTCTGTGCCTTTTTGCATAGGATTGCACCGGTACCTTTACCTTTTTTTACTTTTACCTTTTGCACTGGTAGTTTAAGATTTCAGCAGGAGCTGCTTGGTTTGGGATTAAGATGGAAAGGGAGGTAGAGTGGTTTGCTATTGGTTCATCTATTTCTTAATAATACAGTAACACACACACACACACACACACACACACACTGTACTTTTCCGTGTATAAGACTAGGTTTTTTTCTTTAAAAATTATTCTAAAAAGTGGGGGTCTTATACATGGGTAGTGCATAGGACGGACGTTTGATTGGCTTCTGCCGTGGCTTTCAGCAGCTATTGGGCATGTCATTGGTTGCTGCATCAATGACTGGTGTTGATTGGCTGATGCTGCAGCAATTGGGCGGGGCCATTGGCAGCTTCTGGCCAAATGGGGACAGACAAGAGGTGAATTTTGTGACATGTGCCACCTTCCCCCATTTTCTTAAATTTGAGTCCCCAAAAACAGGGGGCATGTTATACATGGGGATGTCTTATACATGGAAAATTATGGTATGTGAGAAACCAAGTTTTCCAGGAAGCTTACAGTAATAATAATAGTAATAAAAACCTAGAAGAACAGAAATGTATAATACAACATAAAATGGATTGCAGAAGCAAATTAAAAAAAACACAACTATCTCAACCTTGGAACAAAAAACATACATGGAATTGTAGTGCTGTTATTGTTGTTGTTGTTGTTGTTACTGTTGTTGTTGTTGTTTTAAAAATCTATTTATTTAATTTTCCAGATTAATATTTACATTCACATAATAACATAATATATAAAAACAAGATTCCCAAGAATCCCTTGGACTTCCTTCCTCCCCTTTGTGGGTATTATTGTTAATACTTTCCTTCTGCATCTTTTATATTAATCCAAATTTGTGTATCTCCATTATGTCCATAGTTCATTGTAACATTATGTTATTCCAATTCCACTAATGATTTTAACTGTTTACAATGGTTTTTAAGATAAATTATAAATTTTTCCCATTCCTTGTTAAAGCCTTGGTCATCCTGATTTCTGATTCTTCTGGTCATTGTTGCCATTTTGGCATAGTCCATCAACTTAATCTGCCATTATTCTCTGGGAGGGACTCTGTCTTCTTTCCAGCTCTGGGCTAATAACATCTGCACAGCCGTCAGTGCGTACATAAATAATATTTTCTTCTCTCATGGAATTTCTGCACATAACACATATTTGATCCTGTTTTATACATTATTGCTAATTTACTCGGAGTTAGATACCATCAATACATCATTTTCATATAATTTTCTTTCAAACATACAACATGCTGTAAATTTAAAATCACATTTCCATAACTTCTCCCATGCTGCAAATTGCATATCATACTCAAAATCTTTCACCCAGTGTATCATTACAGATTTAACGTGTTCATCTTTTGTAAACCATTCTAGTGAAGTGGTATTATTAATAACAATTACATCATTTTGTTTGGCTCAGAGGAGAGCCACTGAAATTCTCCAGATATTTGGAACCATCAATTTTGCCTACAATGTTGATGTATGTAGACAATATTGTACAGTATTATACAGCAGCCATCCAGGATTTCAGGCAGGGAATCGTTCCATGCCCTACCTAGTGTTGATGGTGACTGAACCAGGGACCTTCAGTTTTGAAAGCAGATGCTCTCCCACTGTGCCACAACCCTTCCCTTAATGTTAAGGCTGTGGATGCCATTGCTTATGTAGCATTTTTTGTATGTTATTACAAACACACAATTCTCTGGAAAGATGCTAGGTCTGGGAAATTGTGGTGGATGCAAAGTGGTGTGGAAGTACTTGTTATCCCTAGCAGTGGTAGAAAACAAGTAATCTCAGGAAAACAAGAAGGAAGCTATTTCTTAGTGCCACTTGGAAAGGTGAGGGCCCCCAAACCCTGAGAAACCATTAAAGAATTGCTTTCCTATCCCTTAGAAAATTGTGGGATGTGGCAGCTCCAATTTCTCTTCCCCCAAATAGGGTGCAGAAAATCAAGAGGTTGCTGGAGAAATCAGTAAGGCCTAGACTTTTGGATAATTGACAAATCAACTTTGCTCCGCACAAAAGTTAACATTTGTATGAAACAAAGGATGGAGATAACTATAAACTGTCACATAACACTAAGAAAGCTGCTGAGCAAACCTATTTTAGTTACTTCTTGCAACTTTTGTAATTTTCCAGTATATTTGAGAAAGTGACTTGTGTGCTTGTCGTATGTCAACTTCTGTATAAATATTTTGCACTTACAATCTTCAGAGTGCCTATGGCACAGGTGTACAAGGTTTCTCTCCTGATACGCATATCAGAAAATAAAGTGATGCCCCGGCATATGCTTCAAATGATTCTCTCATGGTCTGATTTCCACAACGTGGTCATTTGTACACAGCTTCACCTTGAATGGTGAAGAAACCATACACAATACGAATGGGAGTCAGTTACAAAGTCTGTCAGGGAGTCAATTTCTTTTGCTTCTTTCCCTTGAGCTTTTCTAATGCAACTTTGAAATCTTTGTTCCTCAGGGTATAAATGAAAGGGTTCAAGATGGGAGTGATGACAGTATAGAGAACGGAGATGGCTTTGTCCATGGGGAAGCTGCGGAAGGGATGGATGTAAATGTAGATGCAAGGCCCAAAAATCAGGGTCACTACAGTGACATGGGAAGCACAGGTGGAGATAGCTTTGCTCCGGTTGGGTGCAGACCCTGCTCTGAGCTTGGCCAGAAGGATGGAGTATGACACAAGCAACACCACAAAGCACATTAAAGTCACGAGGCCACTGTTGGACACCATGAGTAGCTCCACCACGAAGGTATTAGTACAAGCCAGTTTGACCACCTGTGGCACATCACAGTAGAAGTTGTCCAGCTTGTTGGGGCCACAAAAGGGCAACTGGGTAATAATGGCCACTTGGATGATGGAGTGGACAAAGCCACCAGTCCAGGAGGCACACATCAGGCCACCACACACTGCCCCATTCATGATGACCATGTAGCGCAATGGGCAGAAGATGGCAATGTAACGGTCATAGGCCATGATGACAAGAAGGAAGATCTTGATGCCGCCAATGAAGTGGAAGAAGAAGATCTGGCAAATGCAGCCCACATAAGAGATGGTGTTGGTCTTTGATAGGAAACCGGCCAACATTTTAGGAGCAGTTATGCTAGAGTAGCAGAAATCAAGGAATGAGAGGTTTCCTAAGAGGAAGTACATAGGGGTATGGAGGATAGGTGCATAAGCCACTAGGCTAACGATTAAGAGGTTGCCCAGCATGGTTGTGCCATATACAGCCAAGAAGAAAGCAAACAAGAGGACCTTCACTTCTGGCTTGCTGGTCAGCCCAAGAAATACAAACTCTCTCACAGTGGTGCCGTTCTCTGCTTCCATCATGTGTGTTGAGGCCCCACTGATGGGACTCTGAAAGAATACAGGATAGTTATCAATAAAAGCTATGGAAGAAAAAATTAAATAAAGAAAAATTGTTCTATTGATGTTGTGGACAATGTTTTATCACATTTTGATAGGACCATGAGAAACTGCATTATATCAGTCCAGACCATTGGACCATTCAACTCAGTATTGTCCACATGGGATGGCAGTGGCTGTCCAGGGTTTCAGTTTGGGGCATTCTCAGTCCTACCTGGAGATGATGGGAATTGAACTTGGAACTTCCTGACTGCAGATACTCTACCACTGATCTATAGTTATAACTTGATAGAATTGGTTGGATGTGTGTCAGGAAACAAGCATCACATTGTGGGCTGTATGCAGCTGGTGGTATTTCTGAGTACAGTGGAACCTTGGGTTACATACCATCCTCCTTACAAATGCTTTGGGTAAGAAGCTCTGCTTACCTGGAAGTAGGTCTCCTGGTAGCGAACTTTGCTCCGGGATGCGAGTGGAAGTTGCGCAGCGGCAGCGGGAGGCCCCCATTAGCAAAAGGTTAAGAACGGTTTTGGCTTAAGAACGGACCTCCAGAACGAATTAAGTTCATAACACGAGGTACCACTTTACTTGTTTTGCTCTCATTCTTAAAACATAGGAACTGCAACAAAATTGCAATGGGCAGAGCTGCTATTTAGATCTCCAGTGATTCTACTTCATTCCAACCACTCTCCCATTTTATATTTCCCCTTTTCATGTGGGCATTCCATGACAATGGTCAGTTCTCACTGGGATGCTTTGGAGTCCGCTTCCCTTAGAATACTTTCCTTCAAAAATGTCCCGAATGCTTTGAAGTTACTCTGTGCCTTCTGGTACCACCCTCTCATGAGTGGTGCTATTTTGGTTACATAAGCAATGACATTCAACAGCCTGAACATTAAGGGGAGGGTCAGGGCTCCATGGTAGAGCATCTGCTTTGCACCTTGAGCCACATGGATCAATGGTGTGATTCAGTATAAGGCAGGTTGCTCTGCTCATATTGGGATACAGAGGGAAATATAAATTTGCCCTGTGCCACATCAGAGGCCACTCACATCGGATCCGGCCAGCTACAGACCTATCAACCTCTTACCTATAGTTAGTAAATTATATGCAAAACACCTCCACAATAAGTTAATCAACCTGATTGATGTTGAGGCTATCCTTGCGGAAGAGCAAGCAGGATTCAGGCAAGGCTGATCTACCATAGACCATTGCTTCATCCTAACCCACTTCATAGATAAGTACGCCAAGCAATCTCACGGTGTGCTGTATGCTGCTTTCGTTGATTTGAAAGCTGCTTTTGACTCAATCTCATGAGTAAGACTATGGGCTAAATTGAACACCTTGAGCATAGACAAAACATTATTATGTCTGATTAACTGCCTTTATAAATACACTGTGCTGAAAGTGTGTTGCTCTACAAATGGCCAACTTACAGGATCTGTACCAGCCACAAAGGGAGTCAAGCAAGGATGCATTTTAGCTCCAGCACTCTTTAACCTATACATAAACGACATGGTCCAGTGCCTAAAATCTCCAGAGTTCCATGCCCCTAAACTGGCCTCAAAACCAGTCTCTGTACTATTATATGCTGATGATGCGGTCCTCTTATCCCAAACAAAAATAGTCCTAAAAAGATTGAGAAGAGAATTCTCAGTGTATTGCCAGAGAGAACACCTGGTCGTAAACCATCAGAAAACCAAAGTTATGGTTTTCTCAAGAAAATATAGTCCCCACAGTTGGTGTATGGACAATCAGCCAATCGAACAGGTCAAAGCTTTCAAATATTTGGGCCTTTTCTTCCAGTCTACGGGGTCATGGGGAGTGCCAAAACTTTGACTTGCTTTTTCCATACAAAGGTGGTAAACATATACCACCAGCCCTAGAAGTCTTCCAAGCTAAACCCCTAGCACAGCTATTATTCGGGGCTCAGATTTGGACTTCTAACCACCTTAGCACTTTGGAAGCTGTTCGATCAAAGTTTCTAAGGCAGATTTTTTTCTGTACCACCATGCATCCCAAATGCATCATTGAGACAAGTCTCCCTTCAGTAGAAGTACAGACTTGACAAAGAACTCTTAACTTCTGGCTCTGCCTAAACTCAAATCCTCCCAGTTTACTATCCCTAGTACTTCAAGACTCCCATAAAAGTGCCTGGCTTAAAACCGTCTATCCAAAACTTCACCCTTGTGGCCTATCCCCACAACACCTACTCACTATGGGCCCTACTAAAGCAAACAGTCTAATTGGTCAATGTCCAAAAAATATTGAGCATCAGAATAACCTGGCCACTATAAGGAAAATCTGCCTTTGGTATGTTCATTTTCCACCACTCCATTTTGATTCTCTGGCCCTATATCTGCACAAACGTATTATCCCAAAATACAGGTGTGCTTTTACACTTGCAAGACTGGATGTTTTGCCACCTACAGTACTTGAGGGTCGATTCCAAAAGATTCCGCCTGAGAAAAGACTTTGCCCCTGTGGAAATGGTAGCACCGAAACAGCGGCACACGTCCTCCTGTCTTGTGCTCTCTACAAAGACCTGAGGAACGAAATCATCACCCCACTCGTACTAACCATCCCAGGGTGCTCAACCACTGCCATAATGTCCTTTCTTCTATCAGATCAAAATGAGCAGATAACAGCAAAGGTGGCTAGGTTCATAGCAGGAGCAATCAGAATAAGGGCCACTAACTGATGGCTGATTCAGGACTTTAAATTGTGCTCTTATATCAAACTTCCTTTTCTGCATATACTGTAATGTTTTACTGTTGCTATGGCCATTGGCTAATGCTAATAAAGTTTTATCTTATCTAAAAAAAAATAAAAAATTTGAATGGTGGAGCTAAGGTTGCTGTTGTTTTTCTTTTAAAACAAAGAAAAGAGGGGTGAACTTCTGCCTACACCTCTTCATCAGATAAGATACATAGTAAGCATTTGTAATGCCCCTACAGTGGTACCTCGGGTTACAGACGCTTCAGGTTACAGACGCTTCAGGTTACAGACTCCGCTAACCCAGAAATAGTACCTTGGGTTAAGAACTTTGTTTCAGGATGAGAACAGAAATTGTGTGGTGGTGGTGCGGCAGCAGTGGGAGGTCCCATTAGCTAAAGTGATACCTCAGGTTAAGAACAGTTTCAGGTTAAGAATGGACCTCTGGAACGAATTAAGTTCTTAACCCGAGGTACCACTGTAGTTATGTAATGTTATTGTTGATTTTATGCTATTATGCTGTGATTTTTTCTTCATTTTGGAAGTATAGAATAATTGCAAAGAAATAAATACACAAACTACTTGACTACGTCAGGTTTCCCCTTGCCATGCTGTTTTTGACCCTGGATGTCAATTCAACAAAGTATTGTTTTACATCAGAGATGGGCTAACATCTGTCTTATATGACACAACTCCACACACACACACACGCCCGCTCCTACCTACATATTTTAAGTTTACAAAACAAGAGTGCTTACTCAGGTTCTCTTAACTTGCTGCTTCAGATCAAGGTCTACCAACGCAATAATTCTATCCAACAGCCTCAGCAACTAGCACAGCCATTAGAAATGCTGTAATAAGCCATGATAATGTCTTAATTGACTTTGGTTTGCAGGCATTTACCTCCATTGTCCTAGTGGTCTTCAGTCTAACTTGCAGCTTCATTTAGGCATGTGGAGCTGTTACATTTCCTGGTCCCACCACACAGAGACTCCACCAAGATGGAATATGCTGCTGATATATCACTTCTGAAGGCAAAGGAAACAAGTATAAGCACAATGAATGAATAGTTCATGAGAAGTTAGTGACACCATATCCCAGAGCTCTGTTGCAAAGGGAATTATTAATTTGTGACTGTGCGGTGCTCATTTGCAGACAGGAAGTGAAAGAAACTTTATGTCCTCAAGAGGGTAAGGAGACAGGGAGGGTGCATTATTCTGTGTGTCAGAAAGCTCAGTTTCTGCACATGTACAAGACTTTTGCATCATTCTAAACCACCATAGTTGTCAATGGAGACAATTTGTACCTTGAGTGATGAGAAACATTCTAAAGTCAAATATCATATTTTGCTAAAAGGAAAACATGGAATATGTTTGGTTCTTTTTTAAGTATTAAGGGACTTTTTTTATTGGGACCACAATGTGCAGGGAGGGATGGTTTCACATTCCTCTCGCCACCCACGATCCCTCTGCAATGAAGCAGGAATTCCAAAACCTGCACCACCACAAAGGAGGCCCTTTCCTTGGTTTACCAACTGCATAAGGTCCAAAGAGGTATATATAGGAGGAGGTGTTCCTTCAGGTCTCCTGGTGCCAAGCCATTTAGGTCTTTTAATATTAAGTATTGGACTTTGAATTGGAGCCCCAGCTTTTTATTATCAGACATGCAACAGAGAGAATGACCATCACACTGGTTTTTGGACTTCCAGGACCACGTGAGTGGATGTGATTAAGAATGTAAGAGCAATTCTACTGGATTGAACCAACGGCACATCTAGTCCAGCACGCTATTTTCCCTTGGTGATTACAGACTGGACATGAAGCCAATAACCCTCCTCCTGTTGATTACTGGCCTTTCTGACAGTGGGGGCAAACCTGTGATACACCAACTCACACCTCTGAATAGTTAACATTAACACTGTTGATATTTCAAAACTCTAATGATTCATTTGACTCTAGCATTACAGCAAGGATGGAAAACTTGCAGCCCTCCATGTGGACACCAACTGCCATCATCCTCAGGTAGTGTAGATAATGGTCAGGGATGATGGGAGCTGGAGTCCAACAAAATCTGGAGGCCCACAGGTTCTTCTTCCTAAAGGGGATCAACAATGTGAGCAATGTAACATATGCTTCCAGAAATGGTCACCTCCTCTCTGGTTCCATCCAAGGACATTAAGGTACAATTGAGTGAAACTGAGCACAAGTGAGCCCTCCTGTCACTTCTAAGAGAAGAGTTGCAGGCAT